AATTTTTAAAAATTCTCAGTGTATGAAAGTCAACTCGCGGAAATCAGCGTCGAATATGCTCGAATAGTAGACAAATCCTTTATGGCTTCATCAATAGCATTTCCTTTCTCGTGCCCCTTGATTGTTTCATTCCAACGTAAATAAAGAACACGGTTTCGAAGGATGTTTTCATTTTCCAGTGAAGTCTTTCTCAGGCAAATGACGCCGTTTTTCATTTGTAGGTCCTCCTATTGTACAAAATCCCAACGCGATTCAAGCCAAACAATTCACTGGTGGAGCGGCACTGAGCGCAGATCAAGCATATCAAATTCAATACCAGAAAGAGGTAACTTTCTGCATTGAAGGTCAATACTTCTGAACTTACAACTAGTTGGGACCCTTTACAAATCCTGGCACTCGAATGTGTTAGTATAAACTATCGCACTCCTGTTCCGTATGTCCTAATTATTTATCGAGTTCAAAGTTGCATGCTTGTTCTTCAAAAGGTTTTACTCCCAAAACCGCCTGTTTATTAAAAATGTACCTTTTTTCTAAACCGAATCACATTCGCCTTTGGAAAGAGGTGCTCTACGCATCTTATTAGGTTACTAAAAAATCACACCCAAAGTGCTCGCCATCTGATCATGCAGTTGCTAGTTAATATGCTCCATTTGTTTGAAAACTGACTACATTCAGCTGTTTACATACAGTATTTTGAGCAGTAGAAGAAGATATTACTGAATTTTTGGTTTGAATGTGAGTTACCTTCATAATTTTGTATTCTTCTTAAATACTGCTACTCCTATTTGTTGGTAGCCAATGAAAATTGATTTTGCTAAGGTTGTATAAAGCATAGGGCTTGGTAAAATTATTATCAGTCTTTTATCTCACACGCAAAAGGTTCGTACTGAATTCGTGGTTTCTTCGCCTATTTTACCTCTGTCTTCAATGGGTTGGCTGATGACTTTTAGTCGCTATACTTGAGAAGTTAGATTAGACGGTGACAAACTCGCTTACTTTGAGCGATGGCTGAACTGGACGATCGTATTTGCGGTCAAGATAATCGTCAATTTTGATTGTCAATGAGTCCCGCTTGGTCCACTTGCAGTCTCTTTCCTCTCATTTCATGTCGCGCACGCGAGGACGGGTTTGTTGTCCGTCTCCTTCCTCGCTAGTTCGTCTAAAGCCCTCATCCGAATCGGACTACTTTTACCATCTAAATCGAATTGTATTTTCACCTGTTTATGCGTACCCCTTGCCGTGTAAGTTCGACTCATAATCATAGGTAGTTATGAGTCCGTTTGCTAGTCATATCTAGAACTGACACCTTTATCAGCTCGATATATCAAAATACCAAATACGGCATACTTTTCCACAGTTTATAAAGTACTTCGCAAAAAAACTAGGGTTCGCCGACATAATTGAAAGGCCTATTAAGTATTCTCACGTCACTTACAGCACTAACGGCTGGTATTTTTGGGGTCCAAGCGTTCTATTGTTGAGCATTTCCTTCAAGAATACTCGTTTTTCCCATATAAGCTCAGCAACTGCCCCCTAGAAGGCTGCTGTCTATTAACATATACTATATTTTATTTCTCTTGTTTTTTTCAATTATAAAACTCGAATTCTTGTTTTCTTCTTTCAGCTTCAAGCTATGCATGAATTCATCCTAGCGCAACAGAAATTGAAACTCCAGGAACAGCAGTTAATGGAATCCATAGAAGGCGTCAAATACTCAAAGAAACCCAAGTATACTCCCGACGGTCTACTTATCAAGTACGAGTACGACTCAGACGAAGAGTGTGAGGGTGGAACCTGGGAGCACAAACTTCGGTCTGCGGAAATGGAAGCAACCAAAGGTTGGTTAGTAGCGCTATTATGTCTGATTCGTTTGTAATTAGCTTCCAAAGTACTGCAATCACTTCCCAATAGTTTGTCTCAAAACCATCTTCTTGATCGATGGGTTGTTTTAGAACCAGATTCATGATTTGGTTTCCTTTTGAGAAGAAGATGTGATCGCTGGGACAAAACTTTTATTCGCCTGACGTTTGGAACTCCGTCGCGGATCTTCCATCAGAGAAATTCGTAGAAAAAGTGGCAGAAACCCGTTTCTGATTTTCGATACCCTGTTCAATTTGGATCTATTTTATGGAAAGAATGCATAAAATATCCTTCTTTGTACTTATATGGTAGTACATCACTTCTCTAATTTTCTTCCCTAGAAGGGGTTTAAAAACTTCCATTCCCGATCAATTTTGAGTCCGATGTATAGTAGCACTTGCACCTGGGGTCTCCAAACTCAATACTTTCCTTGTAAAGAAAATAATAAATTTATCTACATTACGTCATGTAGAGTTAATAAAATTTTGCACTGAATGTGAACCTTATTGACCTCCATAAACAATGTTACTGAACATACAACTACGGTGCTGTATTAATGGACATTTTGTAATCGTAACCCATCTAGTGATCACAACCTTTACAAACTGAAAGACACTTTCTTGGAGTATAAAATCAAAGGTCGATGGAAAATAGTCATTTTTTACGAAGTGCAATTTTTGCAGACGGCCGAATATAAGCTCAACCAAAACCCCCTAATTTTTTCGCTACTGAAATGTCTTCTGATTATGTTGCATGACAATCAATATTACAAGGCAACCTAACTAATTCTTTCTAATCAAAAGCATAGTACTGTAGTCGCCGGTTATTAAGCCCACAGCTACGCCCAAATCAGCTTGGGACGGAATTTTACATAGCAAAATCCGCCGGCTAATACCCACATCAGCTTGGGACGGAATTTTACATAGCAAAATCCGCCGGCTAATAAGTCGTAGTCGCCGGCTATTAAGCCCACGGCTAATAAGCCCAGCCGCGTGCCAATCGCCGGTTATTAAGCCCACGGTTAATAGGCCCAGGCGCGTATTAAGCCCAAACTAGCTTATTAAGCCCACGTTTAATAAGCCCAGCCGCGTATTAAGCCCAAGTCAGCTCGGGAACGGAATTTTACATAGCAAAATCCGCCGGCTAATAAGCCCAGTCGCCGGCTAATAAGCCCAGTTTGCCAACAGAATAGAGTGAAATTCCCATCTCTTTGCGTGCGT